TACAGCCGAGAATTTTGTAAACTTTAAGAACATCAAGTTGCTAGGAGGGAGGACGTGCCGTCAGGCGAGAAGGGAAAGTTGGCACAAATTTTTATCAGGCATTAATTCATACACAGATGAGGCGAGAGTCTGGAACATGGTTAGTAAGGTAGCAGGACGAAAAGCACATTCACTTACTCTAGTGAACACACAAGGGGAGAGTTTGGAAGACCAGGCTAACACTCTCGCAGCGCTCTTCGAACAGGTCTCCAGCTCATCACACTATAGTGAAGCGTTCCAACGATACAAAACCAGAATAGAAAAACAGAGATTGGAGCGCAAACCCACAACACATGAGGCATACAATGAACCTTTCTGTTTGGCTTAACTGCAAGCCTCACTTACCTGCTGCAATAAATCTACCCCTGGATGGACTGTGTGGCATATGAAATGTTAAAACACCTGCCCACTGAAACTGAGAAAACTCTCCTCTCCCTGTATAATAAGATATGGTCTTCTGGCGAGCTACCCTCAGCCTGGAAGGAAGCTATCGTTGTCCCAATTCTAAAACAAGGCAAAGACCCGGCCTCAGTTTCCCGCTACAGGCCAATAGCGTTAACCAGCAGTCTTTGCAAGGTCTTTGAGAAAATGATTAACAGGCTCCTGATGCACTTTCTTGAAATTAATGGCCTACTTGACCCATACCAGTGTGAGTTTCGAGAGGCTCGGTCCACCACTGACTACCTTGTTTGTATGGAGGCACAAATTCACAACGCTTTTGTTCATGAGCAATTTTTTCTTTCTTTGTTCCTCGATATGGAAAAGGCATATGACACTACATGGCGTTTTCGTATATTGCGAGACCTGTCACATTTCGGTGTGCGGGTAGAATGTTGATAATCATTGAAAGCTACCTGTCCAACCATATATTCAGTGTCCGCATTGGCACTGTCTTATCTCGAGGATTTGTCCAAACACAGGAGTGCCACAAGTAGGTGTATTGAGCTGCACACTTTTCATAGTTGAATTGAATTTTTTGCACCTGTCTCTCCCACGTAATATTTTTTACTGCATATATGTCGATGATGTACAGATCGCTTTCATATCGAGCAACATCTCAATGTGCCAACATCAAGTTCAACTAGGGTTGAACAAGGTGTCTCAATGGGCAAATGGGAATGGTTTTACACTCAACGCGCAAAAGAGCACTTGCGTCTTGTTCTGCCGAAAAAGGGGCCTCCATCCTTACCCTTACATTGACCTGCATGGTCAATCTCTGCCAGTGAAGACCGAGCACAAGTTTCTTGGACTAATATTAGACACAAAACTAACCTTCATCCTACACATCAAGTATTTAAAAAACAGGAGCTTAAAAACAATGAATATTTTGAAAGTGTTGTCAGCCACTACGTGGGGCAGTGACAAGAAGTGTCTGATGAATTTATATAAAAGCGTCGTACGCACACGCCTAGATTGCGGTGCTTCAATCTATCAGTTGGCAACACCATCAGCCTTGAAGATTCTCGACCCTATCCACCATTGAGGAATTCTCCTCTCTACTTGTGCTTTTCGAAGTAGCCCTGTGGAGAGCCTGTACGTGGATTCGAATGAATGGTCGCTCCACGTACAAAGATGTTACCTGTTTTCTTTGTACTTTCTGAAGGTGAAGGCCGACAAGAAACACCCCTCTCATTTCACAAGTGATGATTTGTCTTCTTCTGGCTTGTTCGAGAACCGTCCTTCGTTGCGGCAGCCCTACTTGTTCCGTGTAAGGGGCCTGGCCGAAGAATCAGGTGTGCCTCTTCTCGAACAGTTTGATGGCTCCTGCAGCAAATCTGCCACCGTGGCAGTGGCAGCTTATAGACTGTGATGTCTCTATTTTTGAAGTCACAAAGCACGCACCACTTGCACACTTACATACATACTTTCTAGAACTACAACATAAATACACATGCCCTGAGTTCTTTACCGATGCCTCAAAGTCCAACACTTCTGTGTCATATGCAGTGGTAGGCCAATCCTTTCCAGAGGCCGGCGTTCTTCATCCTGATGCAAGCATTTTCAGAGGAGAAGCATACGCAATACTAGCAGTCGTAAAACACATCAAACAGACAAAATTACAAAAGGCGGTAATATACACAGATTCTCTAATTGTGGTTGAAGCCCTAAAAACCTCTAAAAAACACAATAACCCCGTGCTGGTGTCACTTTACTTGCTTCTATGCACACTGTACACATCAAAACAGCATGTCGTCTGCTGGGTGCCTGGGAACCGTGAGATGCAAGGGAACGTTTTGGCCGACAAGATGGCTGCTTATGCCAACGACACTACTTCTAATGAATCAATACCAATCCCTGCACTTGACTTGAAACCTTTTCTAAAACGAAAGCTCAGGGGGTATTGGCAGAGCAAGTGGGATAGACACACTGACAATAAACTCCATGCTATTAAGCCACAACTAGGTGATTGGCCGCCACTATCAAAATCACGACACGCAGAAGTAACACTAACAAGGCTTAGAACAGGACATACACACTCCACATATTCATATCTTCTATCTACCGGCAATCCACCATATTTTGAGAGACGTGGAGATCTACTTATGGTTCTCCACATTTATCTCCAGTGCAATGAGCTAGATGCTCTAAGAAGAAAGCACTTTTTACTGCCCTACCGACAGCAGCTCCCACTACACCCTGGGATGTTCATCGGTAGGGATCCGCTTTTTACACTGTCACGTTTTTAAAAGATGTTCATAGCTTTCACCCAATATTTCAAAGTGATCCGTAGCACGACCTCTGTACCATGGTCGTGGCTGCGGTGACTACATCTCCATCATGGTTTTATTATCAGGACATTTTGCCATCCATTTTCACTGCACATATATCGCGCCACTGTCATGATTTTATTTCTTCCATGTTTTTACCCGCATAAGTGCGAGGAATTGGAAGGCTTCTTTACAGCCACGCATCATATCATTGTTCATATCTCTAGTCTATTGAAATGGCACTGTTTGGCCATCAATTGGCCCTTGCGCCATTAAAAACCACTCATCATCATCAAGACATGGGTGCTACTCATCGGTATCCAAGTCCGCAACCGTGATTGGCTTATTTATGCAAAATGCATCAGGGAAGCCAAAAGTACTAGAAAATCTCGTTTAAAAAATGTTTGTCATGTGATATATGGCAGTACAAGTGAGAAAACGTTATGGTGGCCTGAGTGGTTGACATTTTTTGTGAGTATGGAGCCAGACGAAAAGACGTCACATGGGCTTATTTACTACTCATTTGTGTGTACTTTTCCTTGGTACTTTTCTACGCCCCGTTAGCCAGCCTCACTCGGAGCAGTCTGTGCAACGGTGTTAGCCCACTTTTTTTGCACGTGCCTACCTTGTCTTCATTTCAGGGCAGCTCATGTGGGTTGTACAGAGAAAGATTGTGAGGAATCGTGCAAGAGAAAGAGGCTGCAAGATTTACGTAATAACACCCTGATATATTGCGGTTACAAGTACTAGCAAAACTTCAGTGGTCCAAAGTTATACACCACGTATTGATTCATTAATCTCACACTTGTTGAAGTGCTCTTATTGGAGCCCTGCAACACTCTTTAGCAGTTTCAGAAAACTGCCGATCAGCAGTCGAGGCTCCCGAGTACATGCGTGCCAAATATTATAGCACAGCAAGCAGCCTGGAATTCAAAGTCGGGTACAAATCGCTTTCTCTTCTCTTTACAAAGGACGCTACAGGGTCAGAAATCACTGCGTCACAGGCCTACTATCTGCCACTGGCTCATTTGAGCATGGCCCATTGGATCGTCATTTGGGACGCCACAAGAGGCCGCAACTTGTCCTCACGTGCGCGCATGATTGCTCTGAAAAAGCGCGCGTTTGAAGAAAAAAGAACGATTTTAACCGACTTTGAGTTTTATTAGTTTTTTAGGGTTTCTTTTTCTTTCTTTTTTTGTGAAAGTAGACAAAGCAAGTAGAAATGAAAAATATGTGGTTTCGGAAAAAGAACTTTCATTTTTTCCCCTTCTCAGTTGGGAGCAGCTGTGCACACCCTTGTCCTATTAATCAAACGGTTGTGACAGCTGGGCCCAAAGGTGAATGAATGGTGTTCACGCTTGCGATTGAAAGGGGCGTAGCTTCAAGATTTGTTCTAGAACATAGGGCCTTCATGATAACCAGAGGGCTTGATACTCCCAATGGATCAAATCATTATGCATATCACTGTAAATAAATATTCTGTTGACATGTTGATTGACTATTGAATCTCTATATTAGCCTCTCTCTTCTCTAACAAAACCAGAAATGGGGCTATCTGCCGCTGTGTTCGAGTGGTTATTGTGCGCGGCTGCTCACCTAAAGACTGAAGATTGAATCCCAGTCATATCCACTGCATTTTCAATGGAGGCGAGAATGTTTGGAGCCCAATGTAGTTGCACGTTCCAGGAGGTCCAAGCTTCTGGAGCCCTCGAATATAGCATCCCTCATTGTGGTATTGTAGTTCTGAGACCTTAAACCTAAACAGTTATACATGGAAACAGGGCTCATAATTAGTTTTATTGTTCATGTCTATAGCTGCATGTATCCTTGTGCTCTTTTGTTGTCTTGCGGGATGGGAGGAAATAAACTGGTTTACGCGCAGGTTGTGGCAATTCAAAACATAGTTGTCCAGCTCGGTGAAAAGGGGTTTTCTGCTCACCCAAAGGTCGCGGGTTCAATCTCGGCCGCAGCGGTCACATTTCGATGGAGGTGAAAGGCTAGAGGCCCATGTACTATGTGATGTCAGTGGTTGTTAAACAACACCAGATAATCAAAATTTCTGGAGCCCTCCACAAGGGCGTCTCTCATAATCTTATAGCGGTTTTAGAACGTGAAACCCCACGTAATGTTATTAACAAAACACGGATCAACAGCCTCATTACTTGCTTAGGTACCAAGTAAGTGAGATCTTGCTTCTCATCAGTTTTCATTTGTGTTGATTGCGTTAACCGTAGGTGAATGATGTTTTTGCAGGGCACCTACTACCAAGTGGGGGATATCGTGGCCCTAATGGACGAGAATGACGACACCTACTACGCTCAAATTCGAGGCTTGCTGCAGGACCAGTACTGCGAGAAGAGTGCAGTCATTACGTGGCTGCTTCCCACTTCAGAGAGCCCCATGGATCACTTCGATCCTTCCACCTATATCCTGGGTAATTGCTTCTTCGTCTTTCACCGTCTTATTTGAATTTCTTAAGATATTTTTGTTTTCTAGGTACTCTGTTGATAGTGCCACCTTAACAAAGCACCACATCCATATTTGCTGCAAATGTTTCTTTGTGTGTGGTTGAAACGCTCGTTCTCTGCAATCTTTACTCAGTCTTTGTGGCGGCATAAGCTCGATGCAGCTATGGGAGGGGTACCCTCCTTCCCCTTCCAAAATTTGGTCTTGAAAATAGGTGTTTTTCGAGAACAAGTGCTCCCTGCCTCCCCCACCTCAACGAAAATTTCTGGCTATAGGCCTTGCTAGATGGAACCTTTGTCAGTAAAAAATGTTACAACTGATTGTTGACCGAGCTGGCCCAAAGGCGTTGATACCACAAGAGAGCAATGTGTTGAGGAAAGAGAGTATCGCATATAATCGTGATCATCAGTTACTGCAGCCTACCGTGAAATGCTGGGCAAGCACCCCTCATCCCTTTTTCGCGAGACTTCAAATATGCGGCCTCTTTACCCCTACCAATTTTCACTGTTTCACTCCGTTTTTATTCAACCAATGAGGGTGCCCCGCCGCGGTGGTCTAGTGGCTAAGGTACTCGGCTGCTGACCCGCAGGGCGCGGGTTCGAATCCCGGCTGCGGCGGCTGCATTTCCGATGGAGGCGGAAATGTTGTAGGCCCGTGTGCTCAGATTTGGGTGCACGTTAAAGAACCCCAGGTGGTCTAAATTTCCGGAGCCCTCCACTACGGCGTCTCTCATAATCATATAATGGTTTTGGGACGTTAAACCCCACATATCAATCAATCAATCAATCAAATCAACCAATGAGGGTGAAGGAAAACAGTGAATGCATAATGAAGCATTTCATTAGAACCGCGGGTGTACATTCTTTGTGCTTAGTAGGACTTCCACCTCCATCTTGAATTTTGATCCACGACCGAGCGAATCTTGTCAAATTATCCTTCTTTGTAGGGGGGGGGGGGGGGGGGCTTGCTTTCTTGTCATTTTATGGTAGTTTATGTCCACTGCTGAACAAAGGTCTTTTCATCTCCTGTTTGTGTTTTCATACTCAAGCTGAAGCCTGTAGGCTTCCTAATTTCATCAGACCATCGCAATTGTCTTCTGCTACACTTGGGCAAATCTTTGCCCTGGTCACGAAACAAAGGCCTCTTCGCCCTGGTCGTGAGCAGGACGAAGAGGCTTCTGTTTATTATTACATGGCCAGCTGCCCTGCTCCATCTCTTTAGCTGTTCTGACATCATGACTAAAATTCAAGAACTTGTTTATAGCACAGTGTAAGCATTTTAGGCCAACAAGGTACCGTTCTAGAATTCAAGAATACCACGTTGCACCATACTGTGTAGCGTGAACTTGATGCAGTAACAAAGCGTGAGCTAGAATCCAAAGTGGCAGCTGCAGCTTGTTCCTTACCTAACTGAAGTATGTTCACTGCTGAACCCTTTTAAACATGGAAGAACATATTGCTACGAAGTGCTGTCAACAGAACGCTTACGGACGATTATGTGCGTTACTCGATTATGTGCGATCCGTAATCGTGATCGTACGAATGTAAGCGTTCTGTTAAATCGTCCATACCAAGTCTTGCACCAAGTCATCGACGTCACGTACGAAGTCAAACCTCTGGAGACCACCACAGGGCGATCATCTGACATCGTTCACGTTACGCGACTAAAGCCGTTCCACTCCAACCAATTGAGCACCAGGTTGGTGCCTTCGCTGCCGAAGGTGATGCTACGAAGCGCTGTCAGAGATGAAGAGGAAGACAACAAAGAGAAAGACAACGCTCGCTGATATTCGTGTGGACTTGGCTTTGCCTTGTATGTCTGGCGTTACGTGTTTAGACACACCTTGTAAATATTGTCGGCGACGCCTTTTCTCCCCATAACATTTCGGTGGAGAGTGCGGGTTCTCCCTTTCACCATCACGACGATTCTCCATGGCGGACACTCCTTGGCTGCCTCAGCTATATCTGCTCAAAAGGAATACGAGGATGCATCGGAAACGTCTCCAACCATGCCTCGGCCAGCTGGGCTTGCCATGCCGCAACAAACCGACACCTACCGTACAGTCGTTCTGACCCAACCACGCGACCCAGGCACCTTTTCCGGCACTAACAATAAAGATGTCGAGGATTGGCTTCAGCTCTACGAATGGGTGAGCGCACTATACAACAGGGACCCGACGCTCATGTTGGCCAATGTTCTATTTTACCTTTTGGGCACGGCCAAAGTTTGGTTTTCCAACCACGAGGAAGAGATTACCAGTTGGGACGTATGCAAACGCAAACTCATCGACCTCTTGGGCAAGATCATTGAGTGTCGTCGTTCGGCGCAGAAAGGAATCGCGTGCCAACTGCAGTACTGCACCGAGTCATGCATGATTTACATTCAGGATGTGCTCGTCCTCTGCTGCTCAGTCGACGAAAAGATGCTGGAATCCGAAAAGGTCACGCACATTCTTAAGGGAATCCCGGATGATGCTTTTACTCACCTCGTGCTCCGCAACTCCTCAACAGTCGACGACGTTATAAGTGAATGTCGGCGCTATGAAGAAGCGAAAAGTTGTCGCATTGCCCCTAATTTTTTACGCCTTCCCAACACAGCGGTGACGTCTACTTGTGAGCATATCCATCTGCCACCTGCTCCTGCTGTAGGCGAGAACATAGTACGCCTCGTCCGCCGCGAAATCGAAGCTGCAGCTTCAGTCCCCATGCAAACTCGATGCCATGACGATTCCCACACGATTTCTTTAACACAGACCGTCATATGCCAGGAGCTCGCTAACGTCAGACTCCAGACGCTCTGCCCCATGAACAGACCAGACTACTGTCCTCCTGATCTGCCCCGAAACTTATACGCCCGCCCTCGGTACCGGAACCTGGCAGAATGGCGAACTCCTGACGACAGGCCCATTTGCTTCTGTTGTGGACGCATCGGCCACATTTCCCGCCACTGCCCTAGTCCCTGAAGTCGCAATCCTGTTACAACTATTCCAACAATCGCCGTTTTCCTGTTCCTAACTGCCCACCCACGGAGACGATGCTGTGACACCATCAGTGCCTCCACGACTGCACCGCTCTCCTTCGCCGTCAAGTCGCCTGTCTCGCTCTCAGCGTCTTCGTTCTCTTCTCCCTCCTCCTCCTTTCGCCGCTCCTCTGAAAACTAATGGGCGCAGCTCCTAGAGGTGAGCCTGCCGTGACGACTTGAACCGAAATTCCTCTGCTTACACTACCTGGGCGCAACAACCTAATCGAAGTAGATGTCGATGGTGCACCTGTCATAGCACTAGTCGACAACGGTGCTCACGTGTCAGTTATGAACTCGAACCTCCGTGCAAGACTACGGAAGGTTCTCCCTCCAGCTCCGATCACTGTACTCAGCGTAGCCGATGGTACGACCCCAGTTGTCAGTGGGATGTGTACTGCTCGGGTCACTGTTCCCGGACGCCATACCTTCGTTTTGCTTTATGTATTAGAGCAATGCCCACATGAACTGATCTTTGGACTTGATTTTTTTATCCCCCCATTGAGCTCTTGTTGACTGTGCTCCAGGTGTCGTCCAACTTGCCCTACCATATGCCATTGAGCCTAGTGATACCAAACTGGGCACACTGCGTTGCGCCAATTATGTTCGCGTCCACTCTCTATCCATTATGTATATTGCGGTCTCTCCTGATCCACCCGTGCCTGATGGTGATTACGTCGTGTCACCCAATCTGCTCGCAAAACACCACGTTCCCGCACACGGTCATCAGTATAAAAGACAATACCGCATGTCACCCTCTCGTCAATTTTGGACTATGCTCACAAGTTCTGCCCCAGGGTATCTCCCTCGCGTCCCACTACCACATTTCCGCCTTAACAGGGGATAACCCATCACCCACGAGTCTTGATTTATATCAAGCTGCTTTCGAAAGGATCACAAAAATGATCACATCAGACCTTTCCGCTGTGCATGTACACGCTCTTTGTGTCCTTCTCGCTTCATACCAAGATGTCATCATCATCATCATCAGCCTGACTACGTCCACTGCAGGATAAAGCCCTCTTCCATGTTCCGCCAGGTAACTCGGTCTTGTGCTTGCTGCTGCCAATTTATACCCGCAAACTTAATCTCATCTGCCCACCTAACCTTCTGTCTCCCCCTAACCCGCTTGCCTTCTCTGGGAATCCAGTTAGTTATCCTTAATGACCAGTGGTTATCCTGTCTACATGCTACATGCCTGGCCCATGTCCATTTCCTCTTCTTTATTTCAACTATAATATCCTTAACCCCCGTTTGTTTCCTAATCCACTCTGCACTTTTCTTGTCTCTTATGGTTACACCTACCATTTTTCTTTCCATTGCTCGCTGCATCGTCCTCAATTTAAGCTGAACCCTCTTTGTAAGTCTCCAGGTTTCTGCATCATAGCTAAGTACCGGCAAGATACAGCTGTTATATACCTTCCTCTTGAGGGATAGTGGCAATCTACCTGTCATAGTTTGAGAGTGCTTGCCAAAGGTGCTCCACTCCGTTCTTATTCTTCTAGTTACTTCAATCTCGTGGTTCGGCTCCGCGGTTATTACCTGCCCTAAGTAGACAGTCTTCTACAACTTGAAGTGCACTATTACCTATCTTGAAGCGCTGCTCTCTTCCGAGGTTGTTGTACATTACTTTCATTTTCTGCACATTCTGTTTAAGACACGCCTTTCTGCTCTCCTTTTCAAACTCCGTAATCATGAGTTGCAATTCGTCCCCCGAGTTACTCAGCAATGCAATGTCATCGGTTAAGCACAGGGTACTAAGGTACAGTAGAGCCCGACTATATCGAACCCATTTATATCAAGTTATCTCGTATATCGAACAATTACTAAACAAGGTATACTTACACTGAGATTATATAGCAAAAGTTACTGTTTTATCGAACGAAAATAGCAACACCGACTGGTATATCGAACTCCATGTGCCTCAAAAGTGCCCCAGCAAGTTGGCTT